TGTGCCGGGCATCCAAATTAACAGATAAATAATGATGTGTGGTGTTCGTGGTCGAGAAATCTCAATGGAAGAGCAACACACAGATAAAGTTATTTCACTATAAATCAATATGGGTTCGGAAGGTTTTTCAAAAAGTTCAGCATGAAATAGAACCACATCGCAAAACACGTACTGGGACAGGCCTTGATATCGCCCAACCAGCACGGTTTTGTGCAGAAGAAGTCCTGCTTGTCAAACTTGCTAGACTTCATGGATGAGATCACCCAGAGGCTTTACCGAGGAGAGCGTGTAGGAGTTTGTTACCTAGACTTCCAAAAGGCATTCGACTCAGTCAACCACCGAATGTTGATCGAAAAATTGAAGATATTCCGTTTGTCCGATCAGACTGTCAGACGGGTTACAGGGTACCTACTTGGCCGGACTTTCTATGTAAGGGTAGAGGGTGAGATGTCCACTCGGGGAGCAGTCTGCAGTGGCGTGCTCCAAGGGTCCGTGCTAGGACCTCTCATAGTTCTCATGTACATAGACGACCTGACTAAGAGGATAATACACTCCTACTTCCTGTTTGCTGACGATGTAAAAGTTGTCGGTGACCCGTCTACTACCGCCATGCAGGCCAATCTGGACGAAGTTCAGAAGTGGACGGAGGAGTGGCTGTTACCGCTAAATGCTGGCAAGTGCAAACAGCTTCTCCTATGGGGATCTCTCGCAGAGACGAGGGTGATAAACGGTACGGGGCCCACAGCAGTCGAAATGACTGACGAGGTCAGGGACCTGGGTATTGTCATCCATGGTTCATTCCAGTCTACAAGACAATGTCAGGAGGCCTCAGCAAAGGCTTCCAAGGCGCTGTTCTTGCTAAGGAGAACAGTAGCATCTAGGAACCCTGCAGTGTTACTGCCCTTCTACAAGGCCCTGGTGAGACCCCACCTCGAGTATTGCGTGCAGACATGGGCGCCGAAACTTGTACGTGACCAAAAGGCTCCAGAACAAGTACAGAGACGCTTCACTAGGCTTTTTCCTGCCTTGAGGACGATGCCGTACACGAGGCACCTGAGAGAGCTAAACGTTTTCTCCCTGTCTCACAGGCGAATGAGAGGTGACCTAATAGAGGTTTTCAAGCTACTGAAAGGACTCTCACAGCCTAGCGGGCAACTGTTCTCCCTCAGTGAAAACCCAGCCTTAAGAGGACACCAGCTGAAGCTGGCCAAACCTCGGGCGTTAGATAGAGAAAGAGCGAACTACTTTTCTCATAGAGTCGTCAAGGCCTGGAACAGACTTCCTGATGAGATTGTCTCGGT